ACCATTCTGCATTTTCTCAATCTGAAGTTGAATTGGTCCTTACTGCTGTCCAAGCTATCTGTGTACGGCTTCATGAGTCATGAGGGCAAGGAGTAGCCTGGGTCTCCAAGGATAACTATTGGCATTTCATCGTCTCCAATAGTAATTTTCTGGTCTGGGAAGAAAGTTGCATCTTGCAGCTTTTTGAATAGATCAGAATTTCTAATGATGCATGTGTCATGCACCTTTTCCTACCATCGCATGTTGATTTTGGTGTGACAGCTCTTGTGATCCATCAGCAACTGCAACACCATTGAGAAGTACCCCCTTGTGATTTATATACCCTTTGGGAAGATGGTTTGGTGCCAAGATAGATGGAACATACGTCCCTATTTCCCCACTACAGTTAGGGAACCTCATCATAGCAAAACCATCCACTATGTCCTGCACATTATCCAGAGTCACTAATCTTTCTAGCAGAAGGATACTGATTGCCCTGGCTACTTGGATCACAGCAGCCCCTATTGTGGATTTACCCCTTCCAAATTGATTCCTGACCCATTGGTAGCAGTCTGGCATTGCAGCTTCTACATTGCTATTGCCACGTGCTTCTCAGCTGTCAGAGTGGGCCTCATTTGGGTATTGCTGCACTTCAGGGGAAAGCAAGTCACACAGTTCCATGAAAGTGTCTTTACATGTGCAAAACTTTTGCAGTCACCGATCACTGTTCCATAGCTGCATAACTATGAAGTCCCACCAGTCTGTGCTTGTTTCCCAGGGCCAGAACTGGCATTCCAATGTGTCAAAATTCCCAGCCATTGTCAGCCTATGCCAGTTACTCCATTCAATAGGTTCCTACACTCTGTGAGCCTTCTCACACACTTCCTCACTCAGGAAGCTCCTGGCTAGGCTTTGAACAAACTGCAGCATAATGCATGAGATGTTTGCAATGCTTGCCACTGCAGTTTGCAGCTGAGCTGGATCCATGCTTGCCATGCTGTGGTGTTTGCATGGATAACCAGGGAAAAAATGATGCAAAACGATTGTTTGCCATTACTTTAAAGCAGGAAGGGCAAAACAAGATAAGTATGTTGTGGCAGGCTGAAAACATGTACCTACAACCACCTGTGACAATGGAGCCTAGCCCAGAATTCAAATGGGTGACAGGAACTATGGAAAGGCTACCCACAATGCATCACTGTAAGAGTCGATATTAGCAATGGCAGTGCAGATGCACTCTGTTGATCACATGTGCTTAGTGAGGACATGCACCTTTGACTTTATAAATTCGGATGCTAACAGTTGACCTCAGAAAATTTGACTGCATTCTGTAGTATAAACATACCTGAAGTTTCCATTAATATTTAGGTCAGTGATCAGTCCTGTTCGTTTTCTTTAAATTCCCCATTTTATCAATCATGAAAAGGTTTAATACAGAATTCTCTTTTATTGGATACAACACTTCTTGAGTTAGAAAATGGTCATATATAATATTTATAAATGCCCTGATTATTTTACTATTGGGAATTCCTGCATACGTCATTGAGATTGGAGTTTCCCATGATCACATTGATTTCCCCCCTATATATGACCGTAAGGAGATTATTACTCTGTTCTATGGTGTAATTTGATCGTCTAACACAGATAGTAACTGATACCCCATATTGTGCTTACTGACATTGATTCATAAGCATTTAAAGTAATTTTCTCACAAGTTATCAGTGACTTGGAATACAAGAAGCAACACTCTCTCCAGAGGTGGAAAAATGTTTAAACCAAAGAGTAGAAGATCCTAATGTTGTTATTAAGCTGGAACATTAGGAATGACATGAAAGTATGTTTTAAAAGGGAGCTATATTATATTCATGCATAGTTAGAGAACTGGTAAACTGCTGTCCCCTTAAGAAAGGCATAAGAAGTGAGTCTGACATTGTCTTTCTCTGAGCGTGTGCGCTCTCAGCTGGGCTTTTGAGATCAAAGTGTGTATTTGAAAGCTCTGCTAATAAAAGTCTATTTAGTTTATCCGATCTTGCATGAATCTCTACATGAACAATCTGAACAGACAGCACAAGTAATTACCATGTATAATCACATTAAAGTCAATAATCTTCTTATCAGCATGCATTATGTTGGTAGTTATGTACAGGATTGGTCTCATTATACCTACTCCAGCCTGTTTTTAAAAACGTTCATTAATAGATAGACCTTTATAAAAATAAAAGATACCTAGATATTCTGGCAATGATTTGTGATCTTTAACTTCCTACAATGCTAAAGAAATTTATTCGTAACTACACTCTCTCTCCCTCATTTCCATCTTATTTAATTTTCTTTAAAACCAGCAAGAATGTTTCTTTGCACTCTGATCTCATTCTTTTTTTCTTTTTTTTTCCCTTCAAATTCTTAGGCCAAACTTTTCCTCCTTTTGCCTATTGGATTGCATCCACTAGATGTATTTAAAAATAAAGCAAGAGCCAAATCCTAGTGCTGTACAGTTAGCTTACTGCACATAAAGAAATACTGGCTGCTTTTGATATATGTGCATAACTCTTATTACTGATAATGGGAGTTATGTATGTGTGCACAACACAGGAGGAATGTTTTCATAAACATTCATTTGCTTGATATAATTTGTATAATATAAATTGGAAATGTTTACATTTTTATCTTTATTGAACTATATAGAGCAGCTCAGTGAAATCACACATGCTATATGTCAGCTCTTAGCATTGTCACCAATGATTATTTTTGGTGAATGGCTCAGTTAAGCTGCCTGTAGCACAAGATCTTTGAGTTATCATGTTAAGTTGTTAGTGCTTGGAACATTTACCTGTGGTAAAGCTAATAGAATTGGATTTGATCCTGAAATCACGAAGAATTGTAAGTGTTCTGCAAGTTACAAAATATAATCTGTGCAGGGGTGCCTGGTGCCTGTGCTGAGGAGGGTGCAGGGAGGGCTACCCAGAGGAGCAGGGAAGAAGCATTAAGTGGCACCCCATTAGCAATTAAAATTTTGGGGGGGACAGGGAGGGCTGGTGCACCTCCCAAGTACTATCACAACTTACCTATGTATCTGTGGAGCGTGGATGTTTCAAGGAATTGCTGTAATATGGGGCTTTTTACCTGTCCGTCACTAGCTTGAATGTGACTGAAGTAGGTACTGAGAAAGTCATCACTGTTTTGTGCTCTATGTTAGGGATGTAAAATCCCATTTAATTAGTTAACTGGTAAAACTTTGTGTTTAACTAATTAACTGATTAATGGAGCACAGGGAAGGGGCGCTGTAGCCTGACTGGGAGGCAGGGAAGCACAGGGTGGGCAGGTGGCTGCTCCGTTAAGGGTGGGGCTTACTGGTTAATCAGTGAATTGGTTAACAGTTCACATCCCTAGTTGGTGTAAAACAAGTTGTTGATCTCTGTACAGCTCTGATTAGAAAGGTGCTCTCACTGTTAGCACATCATCACCAAAGGCAATCTTGTGTAGGCAGTCTCATCAAAGCAGTCAGGTATTGAATAGACATGGAAACGGAATAAATCTGACAAGATTTGAGATATACCTGCAGGCTAAGGCACAGTGCCAAGTCACCCTGGAGAATTTTGCCCTGCTGATGCCTCATGTTACAAATATGCTGTGGACAGGCAGAAAATACATCCTCCAGGGTTGTCAGTTGCAGAATTTTCACATGCAATATAGCGTGTAAAATGAAGGTACGATGTCTTTGCTATGATATGGGTAGTATAGAGCAAATGCTGCACTTTGCTTTACTGAGAAGACTGGATCAAGCAGCTTTGGATCTTTAAGTGAGGGTGAGGCAGTATGAGCTCCATGCCATAGTCACCGGTGGAGGAGGAGGAAATGACTAGTGTGGCATCTCATCCTTCCATTCAGCCCTATGGAGATATCTTATGTAATTGCTGACCTCATCAGCAAAGCCCTGCGCAGAAACTGATCTGTGGATATCCGTGTCTACATCCACAGATGGGGATATCTTTGGATATAAAGCAGATAGCTGCAAATTTTGTGAGGTTCCAAATATAAAATGTGTACCCACATCCATAGCTTCAGTAATGAGCTACAGCTATCTGCATCCACAGCTGGATGCAGATACTTGCAGATATAAATTGGATAGGTGTGGATTTGTAGGGCTGTATTCATTAGTATTAATTTATACTAGGTCTCCCTTCACTGAGCAACAGCCAAAAGCCCCTTTTAGAGAGCTTTGGAGGGCAATGACCAGTGTGCTAAGCTCATAGGAGCATGATTTCTTTAGGACCCAGATGCTATGGAAATCAGTTGGTAAGAGATAACACATAGGTACTTTGGTAGAGCTCTTGAGATCTCTGCAGATCTCAGGAAAGTATTGGGGAGGGGAGATTGTGTGTGTGTGTGGGGGGGGAAGCGGACTGAAACATCTTTGGGTTCTGCAGGATAGCGAATCACACCATCACATGGAAACAATCAGATGGAAACTGAGGGTCTGGTTTCACTGAAGTTGCTGGCAACATTCCCATTTACTTGAGCAGTACAGGATTGAGGCTTGTGTGAGTGTAAACTTGGTTTGTGCTGTCGTATGTGGAAGTAGCCTTGGCATGGTGTGGTTTAGCCGAGGGCACATAAGTAGATTATATGAGTAGTTTTATAAGACTGCTTGAGTTATATTTATGAAATCAGCTTTGGAAACTATAGCATATTCTAATTTAAGATAATGCTGCTGTTCTGCAAGTTGTTTCTAAAAGAAATGTCATGTGTAAAACTCTCTTCTCACACATCAAAAAGTGGTAAAAATATAAATTTAAATATAACAAAACAATTTTTTTCTGCATGCCAATGGCAGATAAAACATGTTTTTTTCATTCAATCCCAAGTTTATGGAAATGTAACTGACAGTTTTGACTTTTGAGGAATCAAACTTCACAGGGAAGGAAAACAAAGGATTATTTTCCATTGAAAACCTAACCAATTGTTTTATTTTTTATTAGCAGTCCTTGGTATCATTGATTTTTTTTATTTGCATTCTTCAGGTCCTTTCCACACATGTACACAAGGAGAGTTACCAGTTAAAAGAAAAGTGACCAGTGTAGACGACGGCATGACCACCATGAAGGGAAACGGTCTGATTGTGTTGCTGGTTGCAAGTTTGGGAGGCTTCGGAATCTTAGTGGCAGGGGAAACAGAAGATTCCCAGTGCCAGCGAGCTGAGCACCCTGTTATAATGTTTAAAGGTAAGGCATATTTCCCCTTTTCTTCTAAACTAGTTTTCCAAAAAAGGGATAAGTGCCATATAAGCCCTTTACTTCTGGAATTGGTTTATATCACACATTGGCAACACGTGAAAATTAATTTAGTGACCTGTGCTTACTTGCCTATTGATATTAGTCTGTATTTCAGAAATCAACAGAGTTTGATTGATTGTATTTCTGGCAATTTCAGCACAGAAGAGTTCCAGGTCTGGAACAATAGCAGCATTATAGGTTGGCAAGGATTAAAGTGCATTGGCAGAGCTCTGTGTTGAAATTTGCCTGGCCCAGTGCCAGTTAATCAGTTAACTGGGTAAGCATGCCGGTAAGGCAATGCTTACCGTGTATCTGGTTAACCCTTTACATCCGTCCTTCTGTCTCTGCTGTCTGGCAGCTCTTATAAGATACAGCCCTAAATCAGAGTTAAAACAGAGGCAGAGAGCAGAAACAAGTTGAAATGTATCTTGGACAGGCTAATACAAATGATTTTATGAACACTGCTCACTGTTCCCCTCTAAAGGTACTCATAGGATTAGATCCCCCATTTTCATTTGTAATGAAAACATAAAATGGATGAATACAATATCTTCTATATATACTGTATTTTCTGTCCTTTTTGTTACCACTGCCAGGCCCACCAATGCACTACTAGCTAATGAAACAGCAATGGTGGCTGGAGTGCTGGGCCCTTTAAATCACCACCAGTGTGTGCCAAGCTGTGTGTTCCATGCAGCTCTGAGTGTGGCGAGAGCGGGGAAGGGGGGGGGGCTAATAATCATAGAATCATAGAATAATAGGACTGGAAGGGACCTCAAGAGGTCATCGAGTCCAGCCCCCCGCCCTCAAGACAGGACCAAGCTCCGTCTACACCATCCCTGACAGATGTCTATCTAACCTGTTCTTAAATATCTCCAGAGAGGGAGATTCCACCACCTCCCTTGGCAATTTATTCCAATATCTGACCACCCTGACAGTTAGGAATTTTTTCCTAATGTCCAATCTAAACCTCCCCTGCTGTACTTTAAGCCCATTACTCCTTGTCCTGTCCTCAGAAACCAAGAGGAACAAATTTTCTCCTTCCTCCTTGTGACACCCTTTTAGATATTTGAAAACCGCTATCATGTCCCCCCTTAATCTTCTTTTTTCCAAACTAAACAAGCCCAGTTCATGAAGCCTGGCTTCATAGGTCATGTTCTCTAAACCTTTAATCATTCTTGTCGCTCTTCTCTGTACCCTTTCCAATTTCTCCACATCTTTCTTGAAATGTGGCGCCCAGAACTGGACACAGTACTCCAGCTGAGGCCTAACTAGTGCAGAGTAGAGCGGCAGAATGACTTCACGAGTTTTGCTTACAACACACCTGTTGATACAACCTAAAATCATATTTGCTTTTTTTGCAACAGCATCACACTGTTGACTCATATTCAACTTGTGGTCCACTATGACCCCTAGATCCCTTTCCGCCATGCTCCTTCCTAGACAGTCGCTTCCCATCTTGTATGTATGGAACTGATTGTTCCTTCCTAAGTGGAGCACTTTGCATTTCTCTTTATTAAACCTCATCCTGTTTACCTCTGACCATTTCTCTAACTTGCTAAGGTCATTTTGAATTATGTCCCTATCCTCCAAAGAAGTTGCAACCCCACCCAGTTTGGTATCATCTGCAAACTTAATAAGAGTACTCTCTATCCCAATATCTACATCATTGATGAAGATATTGAACAGTACGGGTCCCAAAACAGACCCTTGAGGAACTCCACTTGTTATCCCTTTCCAGCAGGATTTAGAACCGTTAACAACAACTCTCTGACTACGGTTATCCAGCCAATTATGCACCCACCTTATCGTGGCCCTATCTAAGTTATATTTGCCTAGTTTATCAATAAGAATATCATGCGAGACCGTATCAAATGCCTTACTAAAGTCTAGGTATATGACATCCACCGCTTCTCCCTTATCCACAAGGCTCGTTATCCTATCAAAGAAAGCTATCAGATTAGTTTGGCATGACTTGTTCTTCACAAACCCATGCTGGCTATTCCCTATCACTTTATTACCTTCCAAGTGTTTGCATATGATTTCCTTAATTACCTGCTCCATTATCTTCCCTGGGACAGACGTTAAACTGACCGGTCTATAATTTCCTGGGTTGTTCTTATTCCCCTTTTTATAGATGGGCACAATATTTGCCCTTTTCCAGTCTTCTGGAATCTCCCCTGTCTGCCATGATTTTTCAAAGATCATAGCTAAAGGCTCAGATACCTCCTCTATCAGCTCCTTGAGTATCCTGGGATGCATTTCATCAGGACCTGGTGACTTGCTGACATCTAACTTTCCTAAGTGATTTTTAACTTGTTCTTTGTGTATCCTATCTTCTAAACTTACCCTCTCTCTGCTTGTATTCACTACGTTAGGCACACCTCCAGACTTCTCGGTGAAGACCGAAACAAAGAAGTCATTGAGCATCTCCGCCATTTCCAAGTTCCCTGTTACTGCTTCTCCCTCCTCACTAAGCAGTGGGCCTACCCTGTCCTTGGTCTTCCTCTTGCTTTTAATGTATTTATAAAAGGTCTTCTTGTTTCCCTTTATGCCTGTAGCTAGTTTGATCTCATTTTGTGCCTTTGCCTTTCTAATCTTGCCCCTGCATTCCCGTGTTGCTTGCCTATATTCATCCTTTGTTAGTTGTCCTAGTTTCCATTTTTTATATGACTCCTTTTTTATTTTGAGATCATGCAAGATCTCCTTGTTAAGCCAAGCTGGTCTTTTGCCATATTTTCTATCTTTCCTACACAGCGGAATTGTTTGCTTTTGGGCCCTTAACAACGTCCCTTTGAAATACTTCCAACTCTCCTCAGTTGTTTTTCCCTTCAGTCTTGCTTCCCATGGGACCTTACCTACAAGTTCTCTGAGCTTATCAAAATCTGCCTTCCTGAAATCCATAACCTCAATTGTGCTGGTCTCCCTTCTACCTTTCCTTAAGATCATGAACTCTATTATTTCATGATCACTGTCCCCTATACTGTCTTCCACTTTCAAGTTCTCAACTAGTTCCTCCCTATTTGTTAAAACCAAATCCAGAACAGCTTCTCCTCTGGTAGCTTTTTCAACCTTCTGAAACAGAAAGTTGTCTCCAATGCAGTCCAGAAACTTATTGGATAGCCTGTGCCCCGCTGTGTTAGTTTCCCAACATATGTCTGGATAGTTGAAGTCCCCCATCACCACCAAATCTTGGGCTTTGGATAGTTTTGTTAATTGTTTAAAAAAGGCCTCATCCACCTCTTCCACCTGGCTAGGTGGCCTGTAGTAGACTCCTAGCATGATATCACCCTCGTTTTTTACCCCTTTTAGCTTAACCCAGAGACTCTCTACACAGCTATCTCCTACGTTCATCTCCACTTCAGTCCAAGTGTGTACATTTTTAATATACAAGGCAACCCCTCCTCCCTTTTTTCCCTGTCTGTCCTTCCTGAGCAAGCCCT